GAGTATGGTCTCTAGTTGTGACCATTTAAATATAAAGGCCTTGAGTTTATCTTTCTTTATAGCTGAGTAATATTCCATTATATAAAAGTACCACAATTTTCTTATCCAATTCTCAGTGGATGGACATTTGGGTTGCTTCCACATTTTAGCAATTACAAAGTGTGCTGCTATGAACATAGGTGCACATATATCACTGTGATATGATGTTTTTAGATCTCATCAGAAGCAGGTTTATGTGGGATTGTCCAGTGGTGAGGAAGGTGTTTCTAAGCAAGTGGATGCCAGAAGCATCATGAATATATACCCTCAACACAGCAGCAGTTCTGCATGGACCATGTGTCTGTCCTCCGCTGCTACCCCCTTTGTTGGGAGGTCCGGTGGAATCAACCTGCCGCCAGGTGGCTAGGGTCAGGAGTCAGATTTGGGGTTCAGAGCCAGGCTCTGTCATGTGTAGGTCAGGCATGTTGTGGTTTTACTGGCCAAAGTCACTACCACAGAGAATATTCCTGAAGATGAAGATTTATGAAGATTTATGAAGATGACTACTATTTTCCTTTTGATGATTTATATTGCATAATTCCTCTACTACTTTGCATTGCTTGTGCAAAAAATAATAAAAATAAATTTTAAAATGGTCTGGAATAATGACATGCTTTGAGGACAGGGCGAGAGGACAGATATGGCCACCAGTCCATGCACTGTGAACCTCAGCCTCTGCCCTGCTCACTTGATTGCAGTCATAATGACCATCACCAGAGCATCATTTCATTGCTAGATTCTACAGCCCTGGAAAGCAGGATTTATGTGGAAGCAGAAACAGAAGCTCAGATAAAGCCCTTTTGTCTCACTAAGTCATTTCCAGGAAACACTTCCCCTGCAGAGGGGAGAAGGATTCATCCGTATACTGTACCTCATCTGTACACTGAGATGAGGACCAGGTAAAAGGAAGAGCCAGTGTGCTACAGTTTGCATGTGGGCTGTCCCTGTAGGGTTCATATGCTGGAAGTTTGGTTCTCTGAGTGGCAATGTTATGAGATGGTAGCTTCTTGAAGAGGCAGGGCTGGTGGGAGGTCATTATGTCATTGGGAGAACTTCTCTGGAAGGGACTGAGGTAGTTCTTATGGGGTCCTGGTTGTTCTCACAAGGGGGTTCTCATAAAAGAACAAGAGCAGTTGCTCACTATTCTCTCACTTTCTGTCTCACTATCTCCTCTCTTCTTCATGTTCTCCTGCTACTGTGACGCCATCTTGATCCTATGACCCAATCATGGGGGGCCCTCACCAGATACTGGATCAATGGCCCCACTCTCTCTTGACTTTCAACCTCTAAGACTGAATGAAATAAAACTCTTTTCTCTGTAAAGTGCCCAGCCTCAGCTATATTTGACACAATAATAGAAAACAGACCAATACAGAAATTAAAAGTTCAAAAGAAGAGAAACGGGTAGCAGATTTGAGGATTAGAAAGTGACTGGGTTTGTGATGTCACACGTCAGGCTGGGACTCAAAGCTGGGTGTGTGCACCGCAGCCTCCAGACTACTCCTGGCAGATGCTCTGTCACTAACCTTGTCTCGGTGCCACGTCTGGAGGGCACTTGAAACTCACAGGGACCTTGGGCTCAGAGAAGATCCTTTCCAATGGTATGCAGAACATTTAGTTTTCTTTAGGGGGAATCTGTGCTGTGGAGGGTTGTGATACCCAGTTCCTCAGTGGTATTGGTATATACCCTCTCTTTCATGACTTTTCAAAACCCTCTATTAGAAATCCGAACAACACTCTCCATTGAATTATAAAACCATTGAAATCAATTTCCCAGACTCTGGCAGTTTCCCTATCTCTGGATTTAATTGGATCAGAGTTATGAATTTGATATTGGGTTTACCTCATCCTTTTTGAAAGGCATGAAACAGACCCTGCACTTTATTTTAAAACACAAATATTTGATAATGTATGGCTCCCATCAAAATAGAAGTCTCTTCATGTACCAGAGGGGCCATACTGTCATTTTAGAAGTGAGAACTTCTGATTAATAGCACAGCAATAATTTCTCATATCTTCTGTTTAATGTTTCTAGACTCATCTTGTATGTTTATTGAGCAAGACTTTGTGTTTTAAGCATCATCAAAATATTTTTTTGTTGCCATATTACTTAAATTACAAGGAGTATTAAGACTTGGTCAGAACAAAGACTTTCACAATGGCAAACAAAGCAAACAAAAATTTTTATTCAAGCATACATTGAACATGCAATTGTGTCTGACACTGTGCTGTTCATTTATTCAACAATTACGTTGTGGATAAATATTGAGAACCTACTATAAGGCAGGAATACTTCTTGGCTTTCAGATAGGATGCTTTGTCCTTGATCTTGTTTATAGGATTCCATTAAGCAAATAAACCAAATATAAATATGATAATTTTAGGTACTGATAAATATGAGTAAACAAAATAGGAAAAGAACTGAGTGGGAAAGTCAAATTTAGAAAAGATACTTAAAGGGAGAATTATTTTACGTGTACTTGGAATTGGATAGAAAGTATATTTTTGTGTATTAGTCCGTTTTTCATTACTAGCACGAAACACCTAAGTCTGAGTAACTTATAAAGAAAAGAGGTTTATTTGGGCTCATGGTTATTGTCCAAAGACAAAGGCCTAAATTTGGTGATGGTCTTCTTATGGCACACTCCTGAAGCAGTACAGAGGACAACACGGTAAGAGACTGTTAGCCTACGTGTATATTTTCTCTCTGTCTTTTCTTATGGGCTCCACCCCAACAACTTTAATTTGAATCACCTCCTAAAGTCCTCACCTTGAAGACAACAGTCTATTATTTCCACCTGCTTAATATCTTACAGCGGGAATTAAATGTCAACACAAGAACCCCAGGGAACACTGAAACCCCACTCACGCTAGACCATACTTGCTTACCTATCTGGAATTTTTTCAACCCAGGCAATCCCCTTCCCCTGGGCTTTTCCTCCTGGGATTTACACTGAGCAGTCTCTCTGTGGGATCCTCAGTCCATGGGTGAGTACATATGGGGGACCATTGTGCAGGTAGCACACATCTATCTGCTTTATGCATTCTCCCAAACCCCTTGCTCAGCCCGTGGACCCACACATAGCCCTTCCCCACTGAGTGTTGTTGAGTTCTTCTAGTTTCTATAAAGTTCTCATACGAGAGTCAACTTCTGAGCAAATGATTCTGTTGCAGCCAGCAATTTATTTCTGTGCCAATACCTCACTGTTTTACTGATTTCATCCTTATAGTTGTGTGCCTCTGGAAATTCCTTCCTTCTCGGTCCTTAGATTTCTGAGGTTCTTCCCTCTGCCAGCCCTTGTGTACACGTGGTTCTAGCCTGACCTCCCTCTCCCTTTGACCTCCTTCTCTTTTCTCCCCTCCCTTCTACTCCCTTTCTCCTCTGTTCCTCCAGAAGGAGAAGCTGGCAGGCTTTCAGATACCTCAGATATCCACTAGGGTTAGATCCTTGGCCTCAGAGTCTGGCCCTCCACACCCACGAGCAGTCATAAGTATTGAGAGTGGAGCTAAAGGAGGCCCTGGGTCCTCTGGGGCAGCAGGAATGGGGGGGGCACCTCTCACCATGGGTGATGGGAAAGGGCAGCAAATCCCTGCTTTTTGCCCCTGTGGCTTCTGTTTCCTCCTCTCTCTTTCCAGGTGCTCAAGCCAGGTCTGTGCATGTGCTGTCCAAGACTGCTATTCTGGACATTTACATTTACATAGTTGTCACCAGCTTACCATCTGGTTGTCACCTCAAAATGTCATCTCCTCAATGAGGCATTTCAGGGTCCAATCCAAAACAGCTCCTCTTGTCACTCTAGTATGGACTTTTACGCTGTTTCACAATAGAATTTACTCAATATTGGAAAATATTCTCTTCACGTTGGTTTCTTCATCATGGTCTTTCACCTGTCACTAGACTTCAAGCTCTCCATGCATAAGGACCTGTACCCCTGGTCAGAGAGCTGAGCACTTTAACAGACAAGCTCACCGGCTTGTACATGGGCTTAGTGATTGGGCAGAATCAGGCAAATGGGAATGTCTCCTTCATAGCGCAAGTTAGGAGCTAAGCAAGAAACCAGATTCCCCTGCTGATGTCCCATTTCTCCTGTTCTCTGCTCATCTTGGGGAACAGAAGCCAATAGGGACTGGGAGAGGTGACAGCAGTGCTCCTCAGGACCCTTCAACCCTAGCCATTGAGCAGGTGCACAGAGCGGTGTGTTTGGCCTTGGACAAGCCAGCAACTTGGATTTTACCTCCAAAGAAGAGAGGCAAGGGCGGCACATGGGGACATGAACAGTAAACATAAATGTGCAATCCCTGGCAAGTGCTGAGAGGAAGACCCTACACCTCTCCAGCCTGGAGTTTTCACTCTCTCCCTTTTATCTCCTCTGAGCCCGCCCAGGGAAGCCCTAACGCCCACAGGAGCGCCAGCAGGGCGCCACGGCCGGCCGTAGCGCGCACGGCCTGGCATCTGCCATCGGGGTCTATGGCCGGGCAATCCCGGTTCACCCGGGTGCGCGGGAGTGGGGGGTGGCGGGGAGGGGCGGGGCGCCGCCGGGGCCTCCCGCCAGGATCGGGCGGGACAATGGGGCCCCACCCCGGCGAAGGAGGGAAGGAGGGAAGTCGGCAGGGAGGCGGGCTGCGTGCGCTCTGCTGCCGCGCTCTCGCTGCTGCTTCTGCTGCTGCTGCGGGGCTGGGGCTGGAGCTGGAGCGGCTGGGAGGGGCGCTGGTGGGAGCGCGGAGGAGGGAGGAGGCGGCGGCTGCGCGTGTGGCGGGCGGGAGGGCGGCTGGCACCAGCCTTGTAAATAAACTGAGATGCTGTCTCGGGCTTGCCGGCCCGGGTGCCGCCGCCGCCCCGGAGCGCC